GCAGCTGCCTTTATTCATAACTGTGCAGCTCTTACACTGCGACTCTGAGGGGTCAAGCACAGAAACAATAACAATGAAAACTGCTGCATACAGATTATTTTTGTTTTTGCAACCTCGTGTTAAGAATCTTGTTGTAATTGTTTAAAAGTTTGAATGACCGTGATAAACGGACCTTTGTCTTATTGAAACATTTATTTTGGACCTTTAAGATTTGTATTTGAGTACCCCTGTTATAGGACATTAACGATAAAACAGAATATTGTTGTTCTATTTTTAGACACATCTCGCGATCGACTGGGAATCTCCCCGCGATCGACCGGTCGATCGCGATCGACTGGTTGGGCACCCCTGCTCTACTGAAAGCAGTCCGAACCATCGCTGTCTCCACTAGTGAGTGTGAGCGGGCATTCAGCTGCATGAACGATATCCTTACTGCAAAAAGGAATGCTCTCTCTGTCAGCCAACTGTCCAGCCTGGTTTTCATTAAATGTAATGGACCATCACTAGGACAGTTCAATCCGGAACAGTATGTGAGGTCCTGGCTGGCAAAGGGAAGGAGAAGTGCTGATGAAAGAGCCTGTCCAGCTCCAGCCCCTGATACTGATGTCCCCAAGGCCTTCTGGAGCCTTTTCTAACAATGTGAAGTATATTGCAAAGCAGCTCACCCAGTGAGAAGACTTTTGGCATAATGTGCCGATTTGTACAGATCCTGGAGATAGAAGGACTTCAGACCAACCAGGGAGTTATCTGATCAGCTTGGTGTTCAATGTAACTCTTTACCATGGCTCAGACTTTGTTACTTGCAGTTACAGTTTCTCATTTTAGATTGTGCAAATTTTGCATTTGTTTTTACATGTTCTTTGTTCATGCTCTTTATCATTTTTCTGAGTTGGAAAGTTAGATTGCATCATAGTTTACTTTATACATATTTGTATTCTTCAGTGGTGAAGTATATTGCAAAGCAGCTCAGCCATGTGAGAAGACTTTTGGCACTTTTTCGTTTTTCGTTTTCTGAGTTGGAAAGTTAGATTGCATTCAAAATGTACAGAAATACTTAATTTTGTTAAAGCTTTTTATAAAAAATGCTTCTGACCAGAGCTTTGTTTCCTTGTCATTAATGTTGAACACCACCAGAGGGGCTCTCACCTGAAAGGTCTCTGCTTCATGTGTCTTCAGCAGAAGATCTAGACTTTGATTGCTATATTTTCAGTTAATATTGACCTTACTGAGCTTTAGCCATATCCGCTGCCTATCATAAAAAATGTTAAGTACAGTGAACCTTTCTAAAATATACAGTAGTAAAGAGACAAACCCACCAGCATTATAGTAGCCAAATTCTTGTTTGTGGGCTGTATATATAAAATTGACTTGAAAAAGTTGCTGATTTTAGAGTACTGGCACCTTTTTCATTCCAATTCAAGCACTGGTGAAAACTAACCTTGGATGATGGGTTAGTAGACTAAAAGCTTTAGGAATCCAAAGTACAACATATAATAAGTACCCTGTATCAAGATTGATGCAAAACAAGTGATATTTGACATTTTTAGACAGATTTAGCAAACAAAACCCTCTTCTGGGGCCTTTTGGGTGTATTTTCCATATCTCTGGCCCCCCTTGCTGGATTTTGACATGTGACATCTCTTTCTGACCGTCAGAGCCAATGGAATCGAGGGGAACTCCCACATAGTCCTTATTTGGTAATGTGTGTGAGTTAAACTGCCGCATAGCCTAGACCGGAAGCAGCAGCCACTCTGGTGGCTACCATTAGCAGCTAACTTTTGCTCTGCAATTTTTACATAAAAATGGAATTATGGATTATAAATGAAATACATTTTTTATACAGAGACGTTAAAAACCTATGGATTAACCGATTCAGACGCGTTTTTTCTCGTTTTAATGCCATTGAACACGTCTTTTGATCAGATTGACAGCTACGGTGAGACGATCTCCCTAGAAGCTCCGTAAAGGTACGTGTTGTGATGTCTGTGTTTGCTTCCCCTGTCGCGAGTTTGGATCACTCAGTGATGATACTATATACCTAAATAATCTGTGGAACCTCAGCTTTAATCGGATATCTTGTATGTGTAGCTACGATAAGTAATAAGGGTACTTTTATCTTGAGTTCTGTGCCAATGTCCGTTAGCATTTTTCACTAAGGGGTCATTTAGATGCTTCTTATGAGACTTGTGTTTTGGTAAAAATGGTTTGTATCGTCAGTTAGTTGAGATTATTTCCGTTAATCTGGTATAACACATTAATAGGTTCTTAAATATTAAGATCCCCTGAGACACAGTGTCGTGAAAAAAAAAACAGGGTCCCCGCCGACGGGGACCTTGGGGTTTACCAGGTTAAATACATGTAGTGGGGTAAAAGTACACAATTTACCTCTGAATTGTAGTGGAGTAAAAGTACAAAGTAGCAACACTTTAAATGCTCAAGTAAAGTACAAGTCCCTCAAAATTGTACTTAAGTATTTCACTAAATGTAGCCTACCAGTTACTTTACACCTCTACTTTCACATTATTAAAGGATCTGAATAAGTTATCTTTTGGCCACTTGTACCCTAACCCTCAACAGCAGAGTGGCTGTAATAGTAGAAGTGTCTGTATTGAAGCCAATGGAAACACTTTAGAAGTTTGCTTAGTGGTCATTTATGTATTTGTCTTTTCTGAAAGCAACCGATCAACATTTAAGGAAAATGTGCTTTCCTGTATCAGTGGGAAGATAGATGGCACTTTCATCTGTGTCTGTTAAACAAAAGGCTACAGCAAGCAGCTGGTTAGTAGTCAACAGACTGAAAGGCCAGCCTGGATCAACAACTTCTTATTGATATAATATCATCATTTATTTGTTGATTATATTTTGTATTATTCATCTGAATTTTGAAAGACATTTTCTTTTTAAATGTAGAGGAATACAAAGCAAAAATATTTGCCTTTGAATTGCAGTGAGGTAGAAGTATAAAGTAGTACACAACCATGTGTAACAAATGACTCATATACAAACCTTTATCATGTTAGCATCTGTAAGAGACTGCCCTCCAACGATTTCGCTCTCATATTATAAATTCATCCCGGAATCGTTCTCTAACTTGATATTCTGTGTCTTGTGCTCTTTGGTTCCTCTCTCTCTTTTTATCTGTTTCAATAGGCAACGTTATCATTTTGTCTTATTTGTTCACACCGGAATAAGTCGCTGGGGGAGGATTAGGCAAATGAAGCCGCTGACGTCACTTCTTCTTCTTCTGCTTTGGGTTTACTGGCAGGCCGCAAAGAACTTCACAGCGTATACTGCCGCCCAAAGTCCCCGGAGTTGGGGACTGGCTTCAGTAGAAGCTGCTGGGAGTCCCAGCAGCTTCTACTGAAGCCTTCCGAGTAAATCGCCAGAACGCCGACACCTCCTCATCTCCACCACTCCCATGTTTTCTTTTGTGTTGCCATAAGTTAGTCATGATAGATAATGCGAGGATAATAAAATGGCGGCTTCACAATTTTTTTTGGGAGTTTTACGGGCCGTGGTTTGCAATCCACCCAGCCAATCAGACATAGGAACCTTTTTCTCCCACGAAAGTACCTGCTCTCTAGCAGGGACGGAAAAGGGGGTAAAAAAGGTTCTCATGAACTAATTTTTGTTCCGGCTCTTTTTGGTGTGAACGCAACATTTCAGAACTATATCGGAACTAAAGTGGGAAAAGTACTGCGGTGTGAACGCGCCTAATGATATTTTATGTTTTTTAAAGCGCTTTGACTTTATACTAAACTAAAACATTTAAAATCTCCTTCTTTCTGAATTAAATGTGCCCCTCTCATTCAATTATTGCCCCCCCCCAGTCAAATTAGTCTCGAACCGCCACTGCTTACAATGACGAAACAGACTCTGACAGTGACAGCTGGCCCAAGTTGGTGAATGTTTTCTAAACATTGTGCATACAAAGTTATTGAAGATGTTTCTTCCTTTAGATGTTTTGGCACATTTTTATTTGCATTGTTTTTTAAACTCCAGCCCGTTTCTGACAATGGAAATGTTTTGAGCCGTTGTAACCTTTTGCACCTTTTGGCCACAATACATTTGACCAGGAAACCCATTCTCACTGTATAAAAGATTATTACAAGCTTCAATAATAGATGCTCATCACAGGCCCACCACCAAAATAGAGAAAGGCACAGGTGGATTTTGCAGAGTTTGAGGTGTGCTTGTGAAACCTGCCCTTCCTTCAGTGTACATCCAGAGCAGCCACGCTCCAGTTAGCTGGCATGCAGAGAGGAGATGTTATCACACGTTAGTAATTCTGCTTACCAGAATTCTCACCAGCATTTACTTGACCTACATTGTTTACGATTCGTTAATGTGTAGGAGTGTTACTAGCCATTTATTTTATACGACTGGGAAAAATAAATCACAGTTGAGGCTGTTAAAAAGAGTTTCTTAAAGGTATACTGTCAACCTTGCAGGCCTCAGAGCTGAGATGTTTTTAACAAGACAAATACGTTTTTACTTCATCTCGTTTTTGTTGATAAAATGCCCTCTTCATTTTTTTTTTCTAAAGATTCAAAGATAATTCTCTGTTTTTGCTTTTAAAACACATTTTAGACCTTAAAAGTGATAAGTAATCTGTTTTCAGCCACAACAAAAAGGTCCAAAGTTGAACATTTTCACACCCTTTTGCGAGATCAGACACATGAAAGTGTAACCTAGCTCACACTTGAACATTTCACACAGCTTTTCCTATGTGCTGTGCATTTATGAGAACAAAAAGGTAACCGATCAGCAGAAGTTTTTCCATTTGTTGTTAGGGAATTATAAAAATGCATATAAAGTGATGGAGATGTAAATGGGTATGAAATTCAGATAGCATCTTATCTGTAGATTACAATCAGGGACAGTCATAGTGGAAATGCACCGCAGCACACGCCAGCGCAGCCTGCCTGCATATAAACAGAGGATGGAGACGCAAGGAGAGAGAGGAGTGCTCAGTTACTCCGCATCGAGACGACTCAATCATGCTGCTGGTGAGTGCTTTAATTCTACCGACGATCATGAGATTACTTTAAGGTTTATATACTACAAAAATCGAATGAATCTTTCATAAAATATGCTCACATTTTATGAAAAATTCATGTTTAATTTTACTTTGAATTACGAAGTCTTCCTCATGTTGAGAACATGTCTTTGAGGTCAATTCAATTGTATGCAAGATTTCACTTTCAGACAATATAAATAAATGAATGAAGTAATAAAATAAAAATATGAATAGATACAGTATATCACAATATATGTACATTAAGTCAATTACTATGTTAGAAAGTCTGCTCACCAGAGTGCTCACCATTTCCTTGACATACGTACCTTGTGTATACTGTGTTAGTGTCTAGGTGTAGTTACCATTCTTTGTTTTATATGACTAGGAAATATAAATCAAAATGGAGGCGGGATACTGTCAATAGGTCAGGCCTTAGATCCCAGATGTTTTTATAGGACATCGAAAATTAGTTTTTATTTAATGTGATTTTCTTTGATAAAATCCCCTCTGAATATTTAAGTCGAAGAGTACATACTTTTTTCCGCTTTTGCTAAAAAATATATTTTATGCCTTAAAAGTAAGAAGTAACAAACTGTTCACAGCCACATCATGTCCATAGGTGAACATTTTGACACCTTGACAGGTTTTCTTATGGTTTTCTGAAATGTTTAAATACGCAAATCTAGGGTGGCTGACGGGGGCCAATGAGTTACAACGGCCCAAAACACTTTGGGGAATTTAGGAGAAATCTAGAGACATTATTTCAAATTACACATTTCATTACAGGTTAATAAAATAGACACTTAATTGTGTCTTTTGGTTGTTTCTCTCTGGCCTGCAGTTACGTATGAGAGCAAATGAGCCCAAACTCTCATAAAGTTTTTTGATAGTTTCTGGTAATGAATTTAATTGATTTTAAAAGGAAATCCAGCGTAACAATAACACAGAGAAGGAAACGGGGCTAATGAAACATTTATATTAGACAACCTCAGGTTTTCTCTTTTCTCCACCCTCCTCTGGATTTATCTTCAGCTGTGTGTTTATCTCGCCTCCTCGTGTTCAGGTGTTGAGAGCTGTGCTGCTGCTGAGCCTGGCCTCGTTGTTGCACGCTGCCAGGAGAGACCAGGCGGTGAGCTTGAGTTTGGGGAATGGATCCAGACTGAGGCTGGTGATGGATCCCTCAGTGCAGAGTCAGCGCATCAGCACCTCCGACTCCTCCATCGCCAACATGTCTCTGTCACCGTGGACGTACAGGTGAGGAGACGTCGCCCAAATATAAGGGCCCTTAATGACATTTTTCTTGTTGCCGAAAACCAGCAGTGCTTACACCTTCAGTTGTCATTTATGCACTTTGAAGGCGAGACACCACAGGAAAAAACATTTCACAGACTGGTGAATTTTAGGATTCAAATATATTTTTTATTTGCACTATAACTTTTTGCTATATACAAAAACTTGCCATGCATTGCCTTAGGATTTTATTTGACTAACTCTGAATATTACTGTCAGTTGATTTATCCTAAATTCACCAAAACGTAACATTAGACAACGCCTCATTTGCATGTGAACATAATGTTTCAAAAAACTCAATAAGAAAATAATAATTATCTTCATGGGGAAGTTTCTATTTTACACAATTAAAATGTAGAGCCTTTCATATTTTTGGAAATTAACAAGACATTTCTTTAAAGGATGTTTTCTCAGAATATTTTTTTCATATCCTAAATGTTTTTCCAAATTTAAATCAATTATCCTTGGAAATGTAATAGTATTTTATGTATATGTGTTTTTATTGTACCATATTCAAAAGAAGCCTTGAAGATAATATGTATTTCCTTCCCCTGCAGAGACTCCTGTGTGCCCTCCCGGTGGCCTCAGAGGATCTCTCACGCTCAGTGCCTGACCTCTGGCTGTCTGAGCCTGGAGGGGGGGGGTGAGGACGCAGCTCTGGAGGCCAGACCCATCTACTACCAGGTCCTCGTCCTCCACAAGTGAGCCCCTGTCTTTGTTTTGGCCTCCGTTTTTGTTTCTAATGCAAAGTTACAGAGCTGCAACTGTTCTTGTGTTTAGGGAATGCAGTACGTTCATTGCGTTGGACGCGTGGTCTGACACAAAATGAAAATAACTGCTGGGCATTCAATTAAAGGCAGATTTCCCATATAAAATATGTTTTTTATTACTGGAATTTTTATGTACATATTACCTCATTTTTATCTTAAGAGCAATTTTCACTTCCAGCCGTTCTTGTTTCAGATGATTTATTTGCTTTCAATCTGAATTGCTTTATTTTTTCTAAAGGTTTTTTTTTTCTTGTATTGATTTTAACTTTACATTACCCTTTCCATTCTTATCTTGTGTGGCAAGGATTTTTTTCTTTTTTTTACTTACATTTGAATGTATTTTAAAGTTTAAATGGGAGTTGAAAATGTAGTGTTTTACAGAGAAGTGGGATTTACACAATCAGGAACAGGAGTTTATTTCTTTCTGGCATTTATTACTCATGTAATTGTACATTATGGGATGCTCATCTGTTCATCAGTTGGGAACAATTATTTTGTATTGTGGCTCGAAGTAGACATTTTGTATTTAAATTGATATAGTGTTCATTAGTCAATGTCAAACACAGAGACTAAACACATAAAGGATTGTCATTTTGAACAGATGTTGCATTCATCGGATTTTACTGAATGGGAACATATTTTTAAAATGTATTAAATTGACTTTTGCTTGTTTCTTTCTTTCCCTTTCTGCAATACAGTCATATTAATGATTCAATTTAATATCTCATAATGACATCATCTGTATATTTTCACTTTTTATTATTTCCCCATCCCATTCCAGAATCCTAAGGCAAGTGCACAACCACAAAGCAGGAGGGAGGAAGAGGAGGCAGTTTGACTTCAGGCTGGAGACGGAGGTGATCACGGTGGGCTGCACCTGTGTGAGGCCCAGCGTCGTACCGCAGCAGCCATAACAGGACCCTTTGGAATCCTTTAAATAGATGTGTGAAGTTTACAAAGACAACACAATTATGACTCTTCCACTTTCTAGTGTGAGCAAGCCTTTTAATTTAAGCCAGTGATTATAAACCGATGATTTGTGAATTGCAAAGAGTGTGTTTCTGTGCCCCCTAGTGGTGAGGAAATGCTTAATGCAGCTTTCATTTGACATTTACTGTATGTCATTTTCTTATAAAAGGGGTAGTTGTGAAATATATATCGTATGCTATATTAGTTTTTGGGGGTTTGGTCATTTAAATATTTGTTCTCTTTTCTCTTATATTGTTTTGTAATAACCCTGTTTTTGTTTAATTGTTCACATTATGAAAAATCTTTAATAAAGTTTTAAAGCCAACTGTGATGTCTAATTGGGCTCTGAAATGTATTATATATACATTTTTCGAAACAACAATATCATTCGTATTCTGTCATTTACTCAGGCGCAATTACTTTTATATCCTATTTTAAAAAACACGTATTTTCTTCCAGTAAAAGTACACACTATAAATTGTTTTACTTTATATCCTCCTGGGACCCAGCCCATTGAAAATGTCCACTGTAGTGGACATTTTGTTAACATGCATTTCCTTTTACTCTTTTGAGCTACTCTACCAATCCCTGATGTACTGTACAGAGGACATCCTGGTCTTTCTAGTGATATGTCATTGGTTAAGATTGCATGCTGGGAAGTTCCTCTTTCTTTTCATCCAAAATGGCTGGCATACGAAAAACAAAATTGTTTAGAAGCAGTAGAAGTCAAATATTGTTGAATAATTGTAATTTTTACCATGAAAGTCAAATATGTTCTTGTTATTAACATGTGAGGAACTATATAATTAGTTCTGAAAGCAATTAAATAATTCAAGTTTTCAAATAACAGCCCTTTTATAAATGTCCATTCTAGTGGATGTCAGGACCATCTTCATGGACTTTATGACTCAATATTGTTGCAGGAGACGGAACTGAAGCAGACATTTTCTGTACCAGATAGTTCAGGGAGATTACGATGTTGAGCTCTCAGATGATGAGAGAGATGAGGCTTTCACACCTGGGATAGAAGAGGGTCAAGAACAAGGGGGGGAAAGATGCAGGATGCTCCATGAGCGCACAGATACAGACAGAGACAGATAGGGATGAGCTGGAAAGACATGGCCCCCTGTGGGCCAAGAGTAGCATGTATTACATTACATTGCATTTAGCTGACGCTTTTATCCAAAGCGACTTACAATAAGTACATTCGACCAGGAAGACACAACCTTGAAGAAAACAGAATCATATAAGTACATCAGGTTTCATAGAGCCAAACATTTCAAGTGCTACTCAACTGGCTTTAGGTAAGCCAGTCCTTTATTAGTATAAAAGTGCTTCGTTAATAGTTCTAACGCTCGAAGTGGAGTCGAAAGAGATGAGTTTTCAGTTTGCGCCGGAAGATGTGCAAGCTATCTGCCGTCCTGATGTCAATGGGGAGCTCATTCCACCATCTTGGAGCCAGGACAGCAAACCCACGTGTTTTCGCCGATGGGAACTTGGGTCCCCCTCGCAGCGAGGGCGCAACGAGTCGTTTGGCTGATGCAGAGCGTAGTGCACGCGCTGGGGTGTACGGTTTAAACCATGTCCTGGATGTAGGAAGGGCCAGATCCATTCGCAGCATGGTAAGCAAGTACCAGTGTCTTGAAGTGGATTCTAGCAGTTACCGGAAGCCAGTGAAGGGAGCGGAGGAGCGGAGTGGTGTGGGAGAATTTAGGAAGGTTGAAGACCAGACGAGCCGCTGCATTCTGGATGAGCTGCAGAGGTCGGATGGCACATGCAGGTAGACCAGCCAGGAGGGAGTTGCAGTAGTCTAGGCGTGAGATGACGAGAGCCTGGACCAGAACCTGAGTCGCTTTCTGAGTCAGCTGGGGACGTATCTTCCTGATGTTGTAAAGCGTGTATCTGCAGCAACGGGTTGTAGCAGCGATGTTTGCAGTGAAGGACAGGTTGTTATCTAGGGTCACACCCAGATTCCTTGCAGTCTGAGTCGTGGAAACAACTGAGGTGCCGATGTTGATTGTTAGGTCAAGAGTGGGACAATCTTTTCCCGGGAGGAAGAGCGTCTCAGTCTTGTCAAGGTTGAGCTTGAGGTGGTGAGCAGACATCCACTGAGAGATGTCAGCTAGACAAGCAGAGATGCGTGCAACGACCTGGGTCTCTGAGCGGGGAAAGGACAGAATTAATTGGGTGTCGTCAGCGTAGCAGTGGTAAGAAAAACCATGCGGGCTAATGACTGATCCGAGCGAGTTTGTGTACACGGAGAAGAGGAGGGGACCAAGAACAGAGCCCTGAGGGACCCCTGTAGTTAATTGACAAGGGTCGGACTCAGACCCTCTCCAAGTCACCCTGTAGGTACGGTCTTTCAGGTATGAGGTGAGGAGGGAAAGTGCAGAGCCTGAAACTCCAAGTTTTTGGAGAGTGCGAAGGAGGATCTGATGATTCACCGTGTCGAATGCAGCAGACAGGTCCAATAGGATGATGACAGAGGAGAGGGATGCAGTTTTGGCAGTGTGCAGTTCCTCCGTGACAGCAATGAGAGCAGTTTCTGTGGAGTGACCTGCCTTGAAACCAGACTGGTGCGGATTCAGAAGGTTGTTCTGATTGAGATAACAGGAGAGTTGTTTAAAGACAGCGCGTTCAAGTGATTTAGACAGGAACGGGAGGAGAGAGACAGGCCTGTAGTTTATAACATCAGACGGGTTGAGAGTGGGTTTCTTTAGGAGAGGGTTTACTCTTGCCTCCTTGAGACTGTTTGGAAAGTGACCAGAAGTTAGAGAAGTGTTGATGAAATGGGTGAGAAACGGTAGAATATCAGGAGCGATAGTCTGAAGGAGGTTTGAAGGGATAGGGTCCAGAGGACAGGTGGTAGGGCGGGCAGAGGTAATGAGGGTAAGAACCTCACTTGGAGAGAGAGGGGAAAAGGAGGTAAGTGTGTTGGTGGAAGGAGGGTCTGGTGACCCAGCGGTGAGTAAAGGTGAGTCAGAAAAAGAAGAGCGAATATCATCAACCTTTTTTTCAAAGTGGTTAACAAAGTCGCTTGACAGAAGTGAGGAGGGGGGAGGAGCTTTTGGAGGGTCCAAGAGGGTGGAGAAGATGGAAAATAGTTTTTTAGGATTGGAATAGGAAGATTGGATCTTATCTTGAAAGAAAGTGCTTTTTGCTTGAGAGATTGAAGCAGAGAAAGAGGAGAGGAGAGCCTGATAGGTTAGGAGGTCGTCACGGTGTTTGGATTTCCACCATTTCCGCTCTGCTGCCCTAAGGACGGTTCTATTAGCACGCAGTGCATCATTTAGCCAGGGAGCAGGAGGGGACTGACGAGCCTGCCGAGATGTGAGAGGACAGAGCGAGTCCAGAGTGGATGAGAGAGTAGAGAGGAGAGTTTCTGCAGCAGAGTTTGGAGGCAGGAGATGGAACGAATCAGAGGAAGGGAGGGCTGAGAGCACCGACGAGGCAAAGCTAGAGGGGGAGAGGGAGCGAAGGTTACGGCGGACAAGTGCAGGATGAGAAGAGATTAGTTTGTTATGTTTGGAAAGGGATAGAGAGAATGAAATGAAGAAGTGATCGGATGTGTGGAGCGGGTTTACAGAAAGGTTAGAAGTAGCGCAGTTCCTTGAGAATATGAGATCAAGGACATTGCCAGCTTTATGAGTCGGTGGGGACGGAGACAGTGAGAAAGCAAAGGCGGTTAACAGAGATGTTAGTTCGTCTATCTTCCCCGTCTGGAGGTTGAAGTCTCCGAGAAGTACAGCGGGAGGGCCAGTTTCAGGGATGAGTGAGAGGAGATTATCTAATTCCTCCAAGAAGTCCCCCAAGGCGCCTGGTGGACGGTAGAGAACAACAATGGTTAACTGTATAGGATGGGTTACTGTGACGGCATGGAATTCAAAGGTGGAAGGAGTGAAGTTAGGTAGCTTGAAGAGGGAAAAGCTCCATTTGGGCAGGGGCGGATCTACCGGGGTGGCATGGGGTGGCAACTGCCACCCTAAACAATAGCCTTGCCACCCCAGCTGCCACCCCAGTTGGCATCTTTGTTTTGAAAGAAAAGTTGTGGCTCATCGGACATTTATGAGAGAAAGTCTCTAATGTCCGAGTGCAATTGAATGCAGCACAAGATGCACGTCATGTAACCCCTCCCCCGGTCCTGGCGCGAGAGTGGAAATATGATTGGTGGCGAATTCACTTGAACGGGGGGACGGCGCAAAACGAGAAGCCTTTCGGACCCAAGCACTGAAGGAATGAGGTAGTTGCGGTCTACACTGACAGAGAAGAGAATGTCAAGTTTGGCTGTACTCAGCATTGAATCAAAACGCACTACAGCTGTTGATCTTAATAAGTTTGTGAGGCGTTTTGCTGAACAAAATAGTAATCGCATTCAGCTGTAATAGACATGCCAACTTGATGCTCTGCTCACGGACGACTCGATGAGAATAACAAACTGTTAAGATGATGACCTTGTATGCGTGTATATATGTTCTTCTTTGTGGGGGTCTGCTCCCAAAAAACAGTTTTAAGTCCTGAGAAAGTAAAATAAGACGGTGTGTAAAACTACACTGCCCAGCCAACAGAAAGTAACCACTTTGATTTAACTAGGCCAGTAGGTAAGGACCTTCCACTGGATAATAACTGCAGCGATGTTTTAGCTGAATACACGTTTTTTAACCCTACTGATGCAGTTAGTCACTTCTTTAATGTTTGTTCTTTCTGATGTAAAGTCAAGGTTGTAACTGTATATCAATAATGATATAATTACTTGTTTTTCAAAATTTGAAGGAGGGTGAGCAAGCATCTTGATGAACATTCATCATTAACTCCCCCAAAAAATATAGTTTATTCAATAATAAATGAATATGTGAATCATAACAGTTCTTCACTATATCTGTAAAGCGTCTTCGAGCACCTGTAAAAACACTAACAAATTAAATCTATTATTATTATTATTATTTATTAACAGTGATTGACAGCTGATAGGAATAATATGATTGTTAATAGTATCATATTCATTCAGACAAACATCGATGAGACAGTTAATTAATGTACTTATTGC